CCCATGTCATTGTATCGTAGAATATAGATGACCAACAAACACACGACATATCTCATCAACCAAGTGTAGAAACAGAGTAATTTACACCAAAGATAATAACATTCAAATAGTAACTTGAAACTAGAAATGCCTTTATTCGTGCAAGTCAATTTAACAATAACTCTCTCGTTTATACTTGGCTTATCCTCACTAAACTGACCATTGATATTCGTCCTTTCAAACGAACTGATATTACCATAGTCATTGCAGAAGATACTAGAGTTGATGGGCATCTGTTTCATTGTGGATGAAAACACCAACAATGACTGAGTGACACAAGGTGATGAACTTAGCGATGGATCAGAAGCTGTTCTTTTTCGGCTTTCAGATAGTTGTCCAACTGCAAGATTACCACCACTGCTGTCTTTCACTACTAGTTCGGGTTTAGCACTATCATCTGATGATAGGTGGGCTACATGCTGATCAATTACACTGACTGTCTCACAAGTATGCACACCTTCTGGAACTGCATCTGCGTTCAATTCTACTTCACGTTGTAGTTGTACAGAACCTTTATTTAACTTAGCAGTAGTAGGCATATCCCGCATCTCATAATGATCAACCAAAGACAAGTCTGCACTATCATGATCATTACCACAAATATTCACTTTACCGTCAAGTTCATCATTTTCAAACTCTTTAATAACAGAAGTAGACAATTTTGGTTCCTCCTCAAAAATCATTAAAGGTTTTATAACTTCACTCTGACTAGATATACTTTGTAAACTTGTGGAGTCAGAACTCCACTCTGAAGCAGTAACTCTATTCTGTGACACTCTATTCAACAACGGCTTACCAGTTGCAACTACAGACTTCTTCACAACACCGTTATCGTCACACAATTCGGAGTCAGACCTGGAGTTTACATTTAGCTTATCACTGAACTTGCTCACTGGTTCACAGTTCACTTCTGTATGCACCTCTTGCACACGTGTCAAGCACAACCGTGTTTGTCTTGTATCTTGTAACTTATCTGTTGAGGATGTACTACGAAACCTGTTACACTCACTAGGTCTATATGCATTACTAGACATCATGGAGCTTTCTCGATATCCACCTCTCTGAGGCCTACTCGTCATCAATGATTGCATTTTGCTATCAGACTGCTCTATTCTAGGGGTGAGATTCAATAGACTGGCGAACTTGCTCATAGATTGATTGACACTAGTATTTACCAGTTTCAGGATATCATCAAACTTTGGCTCGATACCCTCATCCTCCATACGGGAGCTCATCTTCACCCACTTCCTTTGCAGTCGAGTAGGTAGACGTCTTGCTATTACTTCTAGTATAAAACTCGAGTTGAGGTCACTCATGCGATTCATCGAAATCATTCCATTCTTGTAAATTAGCAAATTATCTAAAAACTCAGTGAGTGCCTGGGAGTCATCCTGTAATTGACCACCATTACCCTTAACAGCCTCGAATAATTTCCCTGCAATCATCGAAGGTCTTCCAAACCTTTGACGTAATATGCTCATAGCCTCATCGTAGCCCTCTTTTGGCTTCATAAACTTACAACACTGTATAGCTCTTGAAGCATCTCCAGTGCAATATCTCATCAAATACATTAACTTCAATTCATCATTTAATAAAAAACCACTCAACATGATCTCAAACTCCTTTACAAATTGTAAATAATCAGCCGGGTTTCCATCAAAACACCGTGGTTCAAATTTAGGGAGTTTGATGTTCCTATTATCCCTGAACGGCGAAACAGTAACATCAACCATGTCATGCTTAACATCAGACACATCGTTACAATTAACAGACAAGTCACCATGACTTACTTTCCTGTTTGCATCCAAGACACTCTGTCCCTTCTTTGACCCAGGCATTGTTGAACTTGACCCAATTCCAAAAGCGTTCCAGATATTGCTTGTTCAAAGAGGACTTGACCGGCACCAGGAAAAATGAACGGCGACTATCCAAAATTTCACCAACTGTTTGAATCCGCCAGATCTGTTTCTATCGTCAGAAACTGTCAGCCAAGTCTCATAAACCGTTAATGCCCAGCTCTTGCTACGCTCGGGCCCACGCTGTTCTTAGAAGATTTCAGAAACGCTTAGTTATAACGGACGCAAAAACCAAAACACCGATCTGCCGTTTGATATTTCTGTATTGTTACACCAACATATAAAAGGAATAAGCGAACTAAGCAAACTAAGGTCTGAAAACTAATATTACAATAATAAATCATTGTTACTTCTGACGATATTTTACTCTTCTTTCTGAACAGCGACCGATGAGACGATGACTGTCGTATTGATGCCTCCGCGAAAATCGGGGAAGTTGATTTTGAGCAAACAACCAAGAATTGATCGTTCAATCTTCAACTCCATTGACACGGCCTGAGCGCTGAAAGCGAAATGGCTGAAATTCAACTAAATCGGAGTTCGTTGCCCCACTGCGTATTCATTCGTCTCTCTCCCCAGCGTATGCCCAATACACTTCAATTTACTTTTACTCGCTGTTAGGTCTTCTCAAACCTAAATTTCCTTGGTCCTTACCTTTCCTAGCCATTTGATCTTCATTATCCAACGAGAGCATCTGTTACTGATTCAGCCCTATGCAAATACCTAAGGAAACATGAGTGCCACACGGTCATCTGTTTTGAAAGTAGTGTTCAAAAATTGTACCTTGTTCCTTTATAAAATAAAAATAAAAAATAAATATCTTGATCCTTTCGCTAAATGCGCTGGACTTTCGCGCTGCTTTCAGAGAAGTAAAGGTCTCTCTTACTTTTTCGATCCTCTCTTTAACATCACCTGGGACACCGTAGTAAAAGCAATGCTGCCTCGGTCATTGTAGTAGTTACCTGCTTCAAATTTCGCCTGCTGATGCCAGTTGACGCTTTTTATTGTTGGCGGAGTATCTTCATCACTTCTGTCTCCTCTTTATTCAGCTGAAGACATATTTGCTTCTTTCTCCGACAGCCTGTGGACATTCTCCTGAAGTTTGACTGACGCTATATATGGAACATCCGCAAGCCCCGCATTTTCCGGCGCCTTTTCGTCGGTTACTGATTTTATTTTGAGAGAGTTTAGTTCCCAGTATCCAAAAGACTACTTTGTTGTCAGTGTTACCATGGCAACCACTGTCCAGGTGACTGGAGTAAACTACTGACTTTCCAGTCGATAATTCTGTTACACATTACTAACGCTTCTGTATTATATTACCTCATTTCTTTTGTAATCTGAGAGGCACTCTCAGCTTCAAACATTGTTTGGACACGTGTTCTAGTGTTTAATTTTCTTTTATTCATAAGGAAAAATATCGACCGACCGGCTTCCCAAAGATTATCACCTAAGTGGTTTCGTCTCTCCGATGATAACGCAGGATGACTTTTTAAAAATATTTTTCCATGCTTTACAGTTCCTTTGTAGGCTGGATTCATTTTATGGTGTGGGATAGCTGGCCTCACGCTCAGTCTGCCTTCCTCTTGAGTCTCAAGACTGACAACTGTACCTAGTAAATTGTGCAAGGTGAGACACCAGCATACTAGCTATTTGTGCACGATTAAATGGATAAAAATGGATAACCGGAGTATGAGTCCCAGCCATGAAAAGGCGCGTGGAAGACCTATAGATAAAGTTGGATAACAGATTTTTAGGCAGGTTTTCAAACATCCAACGCTGCCGATAGTAACTTGTTTCTAGACTTGTCAATATATTTAGAAGATAGTACAGCTACCCAGTTTATTTGAAGCGGATTAAGTTTATCAACAGTACGAAAAGTTGTTTAATATGCTCCGTTACTTAGCATATAGTGACGTCAATCCGTACTGGCAATTCTAACTGTAATATAATACACCCGTCATGGAAATGCAGCTCAGATAATTTATTCGAGGGCTAATTATTCCGCATACCTTGATGTTGCGCTATAAGGACCTCGAGGAGCGAATGCTCAGAAATTTATTTACTTGAAAGACTAATTTTAGCACCCTTCCGCCAGCTGCGTAACTGCACAGGCAGCTGAGCCCTCATAGCACCGCGCATATAACTGAGGCAAGCCGAGTTTCAGTGACCTACTGTAAACTCGTGACAAGATTGCTTTAACGGACGGAGTAGGACTGTTAAACTCATATTTGTATGGAGATATACGTCAGCGAATGGGGTGAAGAGATGTTATAGAAATGCAAAAAGGCGCAAATAGCCTAGGCTAGGTTTAGGAGTGCGTAGGTCAATAAGTGAAAACGGGCCTCTTGTGTGCATATTTTACCCCCAATTTAATTTAATTAACCTGGCAAACAGTCCTCTTAACAGACACGAAGACAGGCAAGTTCGAAACATTGAAAACCCAGAAAAAACTGAAAAAATATAGAAGAAAACGTTCATTTCGTTGAATCAATTGAAAGTACAGGAACATGATTGCTTCGTGACCAATACAATGAGAGCATGATTCTATTAACATGGCAAAATCTAGTTCCTTGGTCGCTGATTCTGTGAACTAACGCTCCAAAGAAGTAGTGTGACAGTGTTTAAAAATATCGTTTTTGAAGATACTGAAAATGTAATAGCACAAAACACCAACGGAGTGACAGAGACTTCTGAAAGTTTCCCGAGAATTTATGAGTTTTAAGCCTTAATCACATCCGTCCTTTGTGAATGAAGACTTCTTTTTTTAATTTACTCATGGTTGTGGTAAAGGATCTATTATCCGCACATTCTGGTGATTTGTTTTAGTCACTTATCACAATACGCCTTAATTGTGGGCGCGTATGTAGTGGATTTTGACTCTGGTCTAACTCTATCAAGCTCAGAGAACACAACTACATCAAAATCTGGTCTACATTTCTTGGCGTAATTGCCTATCTTTGGAATCTCAAGGTGTGTACAGCTCTTGTACAGTTTATTTTCAAATTTCTGAACGTCATTTCACGTTTATCTGTTGTTACAATTTTAGGAGTCGTGTTATATTGATTTGCATCTCAGATAAAGCTCTGTCGCCATAAGTGAAAAATGGTTAGTTGTAGTAAACCTTCAAGTTTACATAGTTCATAGGATACTGCGACGTCTACTATCGTTCTTCGTGGCTTGACATCAACAACTACTGACCGTGATGTAAGTGCGATATATTTATTCATCTTCACGTTCATAGATTCGACGTTCACTTGACAATGAAAGAGCAAAATACACTGACGTGCGTCTTGTTCGAGACAAAGTGACTGGGAGGTGGATTGGATTTGTGGAGTTTGCATCAGTAAGTGATGCTAAAGTGTTTATGCGAGACTGTCAAGTGAGGCTTTCATAACTTTTGTAATTAATTTCTAAGGGAGAGATTGAAGTTCGAAACACAGTAATAAGACTCAGCTACAGTAACGCCAAGGAAAAGCGTGATGAAGAGGTAATTGAAATAATAAAATCTTATGTGTTTAGCGTGATGACGCTTCATCCACAATCATGCTGCGGGGTATTCCTACGTCCTTCGATCATCGCGATGTATGTTCCTTTTTCGGTCTGATAGCATTTTTAGATTCGTGATGCTCTTGACGAAGCAAGAGTCAGCTATCTGGACGTTCGAGTGATAAAAGATAAAACAACAGGTATGTGTAGTCGTAGTAATCAACTAATGCTATTTAAGTAGGCTGTGTAATGATAACTTATTTTTCCCATTAGTTTTTTTAAATTTTGTTCATTATGCAAGTGCTTTTGATTTCATTGCTCACAGAAAGGTTAGGATTGAAACTTCTTGCTGTCGATTGAGCTGCAGACCGAGTGTGTTCTACTCAGCTGTAAACTTAATATTAACAAAAGGTTGTTAAAACTTCTAATTTAACATTTCGTTGCAACTGAAAGCTTTGTTACCCGAAAACTTTCACTCTGAAAGTAAAATTCCATTTCTAAGCATAATGATAACATTATGTTATGTGTTACTGGCCAACCTGGTCTAAATTAGTTAAAATTAATTATGGATAAGCTCTCCTTCCCCCCCCCCCTGGAATCCACAACACCTTCACTTGTTAATGCTATGACTGTTGATTAGTTTTACTTGCTTCAACTTAATCTAATCCTCTGGGACTAACAAAGTACTGTACTACTTTGTGATATCATAAGATTGAAGAAATTCTGAACTTTTAATTCACGAAGATTTACAGGTCATGATAATAGGATCTTCGAAGTGGGAAATATCAGCTTCGTATCCATCGAAGTAAACTCAGTACCATATTTATATGTATCATGCAGCAAAACATGTTTCATTTGTGTTCTCCAAATTTTTGACGAAAATGGTGCAACCTGAAGCTACCTGCTTCTAATCATTAGACACGTGTTGGTCATGTAGCACGAATCAATGGTGGTGTGATTAGTGACAAATGAAAATAGTAACGCAGTGGATGAAGCATGGAACACATGAACCGCCGCTGATATTCTGTTGTCAAGTTTTCCAGTTTTGTGGATGGGAACCTGTGATTCGCATACCTAATAGTGAATTTTGTCGATAAAGAATTATTTTTTCTGCAGTTGCCTTATCCTTATCTTATTCAAATCTGTTCGCAGGTATATCGAAGGGCTTCGGTTTTGTGGATTTCGCTTCTGTGCATGAAGCAAGGCGTTGGATGGACTATCAAAAAGTAATGAATTCTTCACAATACAGGTTAACTCTTTATCAAGTTTCCTATACATTCTTATCACCTGGTATTGTCGTATAGTTTGGCTCCATGCTTTGAATATCTAGAGTATTCTTACCTCAATATTTTTCTTTATATTTAGGGCTTATTTCGTGTTCGGCGCTACGAAATACGACTGATGTACAGTACTCCACGTAATCAGCTGGATTCATTAATACATCATCCGGCAGACGCGCCTGGATTACTTGGCCCTTCAAGCTTTATGGTCCGACCACCTTCGTTGTCTGAAGTTTCTACTGGGGACTGGATCTGTTCAAGGGTGGGTGTTATGGGATATTGCTTCATATAATTGATTTGAAATTGGCAAATTTATTGTTATCATTGCTAATTGCATCTGATTCCCCATTGGTTAATCCTAATCTAGTGTTCTAGTCACAACTTCAGAAGACGGGATCAATGTTACAAGTGCCAATTACCAAGGTCTCAAGTGCAGTCCCTCACAAATTCAGTTGATGGTGTTGACCTCATTGGTACAACTCCATGCAACAGTAAGTCAATTATTTACTCATTTCTCACGTGATAGCGTGTTTAAAAACCCATTCAGCCCTGAACTGCTAAATTCTATGTTTGATCTTAAGTTTGAAATATTACTTACAAATGTGCCTTCCCCATTTTTACCCAAATACACTTCCATTTATTTTTCAAGACATTTGCTATTTAATACTGAAGAATTTAAAAATTAAACGAGAAACATATTAACTTTCTTTTCTCCAGCTCTTGTCCTGCGATGTTTGGACGCACTAACTACGGAAGACGATATTTGCCAAGTTTTTCAGGACATAGCTGAAGTGAAGGTTCGCCAGTGTCATGTGATGAGAGATGAAGTGACACACGCGTCCAGATGCTTTGCGTTTGCAGAACTTCCCACGGTAGCTGATGCGTACAAGGTCATGGATATTGTGAATAAGGAATTTAAGCTTTTCGAGGTGGGAGGAAAAGCAATCACTGTTTCTTATGCAAAAAATACTTTCAAGTTAGTTTAAAGTTGTTTAATATATGCTTCGTAGTTTCTTGTCTCTACTTCAGCCTGAATTCTCATGTGTCTTCTACTGAAATATGTCAAATGTAGTTACGTTTTCACATGAATTCTTTAATTCAAAGAAGTTTCACGAACTGCCATATATATATCTCTTAATTGATACTTTTGGCCTTAAGAAATTTGACTATTTGTTACTGTATTTACACGTATTGCATGCATGTTTGTATTTTCTATTTTTCAAATGGGGCTGTATATATACCATCCGATATTTCAGTTTTCTCCATTGTTACTTAGTCACAGTGAATCAGTTCTGATGGACTCAAAATAACTTGTGATTTTTCATTTTTATTGTCTGAGTGGTGTGAACTCAGTCCAGCTATTAAGGTAAAATGTGTGAGTTTCTCATATCTTCAGCAAAGATACAACTCATTGGTCATGGCTGGAATTTTAAGGTATTGCTTCAGTAATTTGAGTGTGCATTTTACCTACCAGCTAGGTTGCTTTGGACGCCACATGAAGCGAAGAGAATTAACCGAAGGCATACATCAAAACATCAAAAATACCTATAGAATATAATAATACTTACATGAATATTGCCTAGCCCTTATCATTTCACATTCTCCATGTATAACGTCTGATTTTTGATTTCATTCATTTAAGCACTATCATGGCAACATTGAAAACTGAGGGATCTTATAATGCACAGTTGAATAGTAGTCGTAATTTGGCTTTGGATTTAGCTCATGCAGCTATGGCAGCACAAAATAATAATAATATATCACCTGATACTGTGGCAATGAATGCAGTCGCTGCATCAGCATTACTTAGTCAGACTTCAAATAATGGAGCTGCTGTCGCGCAAGCAGCTATACAACAAAAACAAACGGAACAGCATGTTTTGTCGGCCCTTACAAAGTCTCTGCGTAATCACACAGAACATACAGTTTCGTCTCAGTACGCTCCGTCAATGGCGGCCCTTGTGGCTACTGGTCAACAACTTCCACCTCCGTCTTTTCCTTTCAATGCAGCAACAGCATCGTCTACCACGTATCGTAAGTCTTATATATGTCATATACGTTATAAACTTTATATACATGCTAATGCACATCGCGTCAGACAGCATTTTGTGGGAGAACAAATAATAATTAGCTGGATAGATGAAGAGGGTCTGGAACCCACGATTCACTTTGAAAGTCGGATGCTTGATTCAGCAAGTAACACTCTAGAAAAACGTTTCACATATTGCTTATTCTGGTAAGCCTCACCGACTATGTGTCGAGTTGTAGGAACGTAACAAGTAACTCCGTGGCGCAGATGCATCCACTCCTTGTGACTTAAGATCTCCAATGAAACTGTTTTGTTCTTCGTTATTACTCCTCCTTTGTCTCACACCTCTGCTCACTGTTTCTATTATGCTTTTCTTGTACTTTCTTCTCTTGCTTCGCGTGCTACACGGAGTGTGGCGACTTAAACTTCCGCACATTTGTGCAAAGTTCTATGTCGAAAACAGACAGACAGAGAACTCCGTGCTTTAGGAATACATATATAACGTGAAATTTCATTGTTTTTGATTATGGCTTTTAAGATTTGTTTTTTTGCAGATAATGTTTCACACCGCTGCTCTGAGAAATCACATTTTACACGTTTATGTGAACCGTTGTTTGTAACTATGTGCATGCATGAGGTGTGGTTTTCATAAGCGGATCTGTAAAGATTTATTATAGTAGGTATTATAGGTTTATAGGTCGTCTGAACTGGTGACGACTAGCGGTGTCCGTCAAGGATGCCCATTATCCCCTTTTCTATTCAACTTCATCATAGATGCGTTAATGGACTTAACCCTAAGTGACTTCAGCGACTCAGGGATTGACTTGCTACCAGGGAATAATCTCGTTGACTTAGACTATGCAGACGATATAGTCCTTCTACGCGAGGACTATGACAAAACGCAGAGTTTTCTGAACACCTTGAGCAGCAATCTATGAATGTTTGGCATGCGATTCGCTCCCGCCAAATGCAAGATGATCTTACAGGACTGGACTACATCGACGCCTAGATTAGAAATAGGAAGTGAAGTGGTTGGCGGAGCACGTTGACCACTTCACTTATTTGGGAAGTACCGTCAGCCAGTGACAACGGGTTGATCTCTGACGAAATCTCAGCGCGGATACAGAAGGCTAGTTTTTCATATGCCAGTTTACGCTGTCTCTGGCGTAGACGTGATATCCGCCTACCTATCGACCAGTGGGCGGGTGTACTGCTCATCAGTACGCTCCGTCCTCCTCCACAGCTGTGAGTGACACCTAGCCATTGAGAGTGGAAGACATGAAAAGATCAGCTGTCTTTGATCATAGGTGCCTGTGTTCTATCTCCCGTGTGAAGTGGTATAGTAGGGGTGAGCAATATTGAGGTTAGGCTTCGGTCGAGTGCTAGGTAAGGAGTGGAAATCAATCGACGAAGCTGTGAAATTACATTGACTGAGATGGTTAGGACATGTGTTACGTATGCCTAGTCATCGCCTTCCTCGACGGTCAATGTTAGCTAACATAGGGTCAGGCTGAAAAAGAGCTAGCGGAGGTCAAACCAAAACACGGCACCAGTCAATGAAATCTACAACAGTTAGTCTGAGCCAGTCACGTAGAAGAGTTCAGACTTCCTGACTGGTTGGGCTCCTCTGGACGGTAAAAACCAATGGTTGAAAAAAATTGATGAAATGGCTCAAAATCGTTCTCAATGGCTACTGCAGATGCATCCACTCCTTGTGACTTATGATTTCCAATGAAACTGTTTTGTTCTTCGTTATTACTATTCCTTTGTCTCACACGTCTGTTTACTATCTCTATTATGCATTGCTTCCACTTTATTCTCTTGCTTTGTGTGTTACATGGAGTGTGGCAACTTGAACTAGTGCACATATGTGCCAAGTTCTATGTCGAAAACAGACAGATTATAGGTTTGTTAACAGGTTTTAAACTAAAGTTTTGTGTTTTGTGAAAGCATAAATTGCCTGGTTACTGAATTCAAAGACAACTTCCTTTCATATCCAAACGATCAGTACTAATGGAGTTATTTGTTCCATCACTTATCATTTCACCAAGTCTTGAGCGTCTACCTTGTTTGATTGTTCATCTCTCACAGTACAACTTTTTTTTTAGTGTAGCAAAGAATGACGAAAAGCAAAAGGCGACTGAACTAGTATATAATATTGTTATGTGAAGTTTTTAACTGTTTGTTTGAGCTGTGTCAGTTACTTCTTTGATGTGCATTTGACAACCTAAAACATTTATGTCGTTAACCATATTTTGTGATACTTATAATGTTAATCATTTCACCATCCTTATTGTTTACTTTATAGCATTCCCAGACACCTCAAAGTACATATATGATGAATCTACTCGGTTTTACTATGATCCTGTAACTGGTTTAATGTATGAACCGAATTCAAAGTATTTCTATGATCGCGCAAGTCAACAATACCATTATTGGGATCAGACAAAAAGTACATACCTTCCAGTACCACAGCCCGGTGCTACTGATAACTCTACTTCTGGCTCACAAGCTGACGCTTCCGATGCTTCCAAGAACAAAGTAATTTTTCTATTCATTGTTTGCTACATTTTATGTTGTTACGCTTCCGTCATGTTTTGGTAGACGTAGTCTTCATAAGATATCACTAAAACGTCACTGGGTTTCAAACCCGTGACGCTGTGAGCGCGTACTGCCGATAAGTCCTAAGCTAAGACGAAACCGTTTTCCTGTGCTCCCTGGTTTTTAATGATTCTCTAACTGATATCAATCTGTGGTCAGACTTGGAAGGGATCTAATCCCCACAAACAAACTCTTAAAAATTAGTTGGATACTCGCTAGTGGCTGGCTGGCTACAGACAGAATTTGCGTGAATTTCTGATGAGAAGTCGTAACCAGTGGCATCCACTAGGTTAGGAGTGAGGACAAATGCTCGCCGATGACATTGGCTGGTAGAACTACGAATTGCTAGAATTTGGGATTCATTGACCATTTGATCTGCTCTCAGTGGGTGAGTAGTCTGCAAGCTTACCTTGTAACCTGAAGGCCCTGGGTTCGAACCCTAGTAAGTAAGTACTGCAGAAGAGTCCCAAAGTCTAGGATGGAATTGCGGTGAATTACTCCCTACTGGTTTCCAATGATTTTCTGACTACTGTCATTGTGTGAACAAACTTGAAACAATCCTTTTCATTAGACTGTATACTTCGTTGCTATGGCATAACTTGTTTTGCATATCCTTGTGTTATGCTAGTAGATCTAAATGCGTATAAATGTTTACAGTGTTGTTATCAGATGAAAAAAAAACCGTTACATATCCGCGTAAATAAGTGTAAAGTCTACCTTAGCTTATTGTTTTTATGGCAACTGTCACTTTGATTGCCTTTGCTCGACTCAAGTTGATATTTTGCCTTCCCAATATTTTGTATCTAATTGCTGTTAAAATCTTTTAGGATGATCGTGGTAAGACTGCTCAGCAGATAGCAAGAGAAATGGAAAAATGGGCGAAGAAAATGAATGCTCAGAAAAAGTCATCCTCCAATACTACACAACGCACTGATTCAACATCCGTAAGTTTCTATTTTCGCATTTTCAAGTATTCAGTAGTAGACTTCTGGCTTTCTAGATACTATTATAAATAATAACTGTCTTTGCACAGTAGTGTACATATTTGTCTACATACTTCCGGCGTCGTTTTGCCTTTATTTATAGGTTCCCGTGTCTTTCACATTGATTTAATTTGTCATTAATGTCGATGACAGCCTGTGTCTCCTGTTAACGACTTTCAGTTTGTAGTTGTACAATCTAAGGGATAACTCTCCTCAATTATTCCTGGTACAGTTACTGGCAGGTCATTTTTGCCTCACCTTTCATTGAGTTTTATGCACTAAGGAATTTTAGAGGGTCATTGTCAGCCCATACATTCTAACTTCACTAGTTTTGTATTGATAAGCTCATCACACGCGTATATTTTTCTTGTTAAGTTGCTTTACAATGTTGTCAGTTGATAAAACGCATGTTTTCCAAGTATATGAAGGGACTGGTCTATGCTTTCTTATTTTTAGTCTGAGGCTAGCAGAACAGCAGATACGGGTTATGCAATCTTAGAAGCCTCTGCCAGTAGTGTACTTGGAAACGATATGCGTACACCCGAATCTACCAGTTTGGTTGCAGAATACGGTGGTGTTGAGGACAGTGATGACTCAGGCCAGGAAGAGTCACTTGGTGAAAAACAAGATTCACTTGCGCCAGCAAATTCCGAGGCTGAAGCGAAAGTGGCAGAGGAAGAAAGCAAGTAAGTTCTCCATACATTATACTATTTCTTTGCGTTTTGAGTGAAACAAAGGGCTTCAAGCTTTCAGCTTTGAAGTTTCAGTAGTGGTGGCGTTGTTTTGACGGGGGTGGGACGATTGCTGACCTCACGCCTAAATTCCCCTCTTTACCGAGCTTACTGCTGATAAAGTGAGGTTTTGAGGGCTATGTCAGACGGGGATCGAACCGCGGACAACTTGTGGTTGTCGAGTATTCCACCACTAAATCACCAAAGTACACTTATATGTATATGTATAGGAAAGCATATTAGAACTTTAATGTTTTAGTTTTTTGTGTTATGGATTATTGAATCGTTGTAATTGGAAATTAATATCTATATCAATACTTGAATTTGAAGGGAATTGTAAGGAAATAATGGTATTTCTATCAAAAGATGACATTTAGGTACTCTAAAGAGCCTTTTGTTTGAAAATTTAATGCATTTTATTTCCATATTTTCGAAATCATCCGATAGTCAAGAGTTATCCATCTACGCGATATCATAAATTCACTGTGACTGACTGACTGACTGGTTTCAACATAGAACTTTGCACAGATATACAGCAGTTCAAGTTGCCACACTTCATGTAGCACACAAAACACGAGAAGAGAGTAGAGGGAGATAATAAACTGAAGTGTGAGGAAAAACGAATAGTAATATAGAGGAACGATGAAGTCTTATTGGATATGACAGATCATAACGAGTGAATGCATCTGCGCTATTATTCAGAACGATTTCGAGCTATATCACCAATTGTCTCCAGCCATTGGTTCTTACCATCACGAGGACCCCAACCAGGAAGTCTACACCTCCCTACGTGGTTGGTTTAAACTAACTGTTGTGGATTTCATTGGCTGGTGCCATGTTTTGGTTTGACCACCATTAGCTGTTTTCCAACGTGATCGTATGTCAGCTAACATCGCCCATCCAGGGAGGCGATGGCTAGGCATGCGTAACACATGTCCTTGTTATCTCAATCTATGAAACTTCACAACCTCGTCGATCGGTTTTCCCTCTCCCTTATCTAGTGCTCGACCGAAGCCTAACCTCGATATTACTCACCGTATTATGCCACCTATGATCAAAAACAGTTAGTTAGGCTTTTCATCTCTTCTACTTTCATTGGTCACGTCTGATAGCCATAAAGAAAGACGAATCGAACTGTTGGGCGGTACACACGTCTTGTGGTGGATAGCCGGATATCACGTCTACTAAGTCAGAGATGACGTAAACTGACGTATGCAAAACGACCCTTCTGTATCCATGATAAAATTTCGTCAGCGATCAACGCGTTGGTACTGGCTGATGCAAATTCCCAAATAAGTGAAGTGGTCAGTACTCTCCATCAACCATTTCACACCCTGTCTTTATGCTAGGAGTCGATTTAGTTGAGTCCTGTGGCATAACTTTACATTTGACGGGAGCGAATCGCCCTCCAGACATTGGAAGATTGCTGTTCAAGGTGTTCAGAAGACTATGCATTTTGTCGGCGTCTTCTCCTAGGAGGGAGGACTATATCATCTGCATATTCTAAGTCAACGAGATTATCACGGCTGATCAAGAGGATTGATCATGTGTTATTCAGTAGCAGGACTGTTGATACATGTCTTTTATGCAACATATTTATTAGTTATTGAAATAATTCTGATTACTTTTCATGCTGTATTGATTATAATTACAATTTTGTATGGTTTAAAAGCGTGTTTACTACGAAAGTTATCAACGCACACACTACCCTTTTGTATCCATTTCGCGAAAACGCTTATAGGATTGCGCTCTCGATGCGTGTAGCCATCAAGCAGAAAACTGATTTACAGATATAGGCGGCCACCTTCGAAGATGCACACAAAGGTCTTTCTACTAGATTCAAATTGAACTTTCCCGTTGATTGATTGGATGGAAGTGCTCGATCAATGTTGACATATCGGCTCCCTTATAGATGCTTCGAGAGATGATTCTCGTGGCCGAAGTGGTCTAGTGGATAGCACTTTGACGTTTCAAACTATGGATACTGGCCTCAAGCCTCATTGGGGAATGCAGATGCATCCAGATGACGAGTCCCAAATGTGCGTTCTGGATCCTACTACTATAGACTATCCACCCAGTTAACTCTCTTTTTATATCGCCTTGTAACCTATAACAGAGAATCTTCAGCCAATAGTTAACTATATGAGAAACTATGAGTTGAAGGAAAATCAAGAATGTTCTCTTCATATCTTATTAATTTCTTTGCACAAATAGCATAATAACTTTTCTCTATAGTGTTCACATACTTTGTTGAGTATAAATACACCTTAGTTCTCTGTTGAAGGGAGAACCGTCCACTTATCCCCAGCTAGATAAACTCGTTTGCTCTTTAATATGAATGCTTTTTTCCTGAATTTCATGGTAAATGAGTGTCAGGGCAACGAATTAACTGATAAGCCTCCAATTATTTATGCTTTGGATTGCATACTCATTTCTATCCTTTATTGATAATTATTTAGTATTTATATCTAGTAATATATTGTCATTTTTCTTTTAGACTGCTGGATTGGGCTAAACTTGCGTGCATGCTATGCGCTCGAGGTTTCAAAGACGCTGCAACTCTTCAAAAACACAGAGCATTTTCAGCTTTACATTATGAAAATTTGAATAAATTGCGAGATAAATATGGATTACCGCCTATTCCTGCTCCAACACCGGGTCAAAGTCAGGATAATGCGAACAGTGCTAATGCAGCATCGAAAAACCCACTTTCGATAGCATCTTTAATGCAGATAGGTGCACAAACAGCCAGTAATCATGCGAAAACGGTAGCATCGAAACAGACTACTGGTCGACCAACTACTTCAGGACAATATCGTGATCGGGCTAAAGAGCGTCGTGAAAAGTATGGAATACCATCCCCCCCTAGAATGAAGTCCACTGACAGTCACTCACCTACTGTACAGGTAGAGCCGGAACCATTTGTTCTACCTATTCCACTTCCTCCACAATCTGGTAAGAATGTTTATTGATTCTTTTGATTTTATTTTCGAAAATACTAAACATTCAGTAATTAGTTTTGTCACAGGTTAGTATACTCCGATCAGGGGTCGGTGTATACCGAATTGACCCGTTGAATCTTGACCAGTTAACCAAGGATCGAATAACATGATTTGGGCCTCTAATTTCGGTTATTAGCCTGCACAAAATAAGCTAGGTTCCAAGTCGTGGATTTAATAGTAAAACATACCAGGTCATTGTTTGTTGACTAGTCGTGTGGGTACTTGTGGTGGTGCATTCGTGTTTTTGTTGACTATATATATATATATATATATATATATTTCTGTTGTTCGCCTCACCCTCTTCATCTCATTGTTTTTGACGATTTCGCATCGCGTTCCTCTTTTATTTTGTCAGACACCTTGATGTATCATGTGACCTAGTGGACTAAGATGTGAGTATGACGGTCTCGAGTGTAACTATTCCACTCAGCATCATCCTCATCTTTGACCTGCGAAAATTTCAGAAAACGAAAATTATAACCTATGACTGTATAGACAACTTTATCAGACAAAATATGCATCAATGTGCTCATTTCACACAGTAATAAAAAAACGTATTTAGATTCAGTATATAAGTAAAAGTATTCTGTTCGTATGACACATATCCAATTTTGAAACAAAATATGTCTCATCATGGGTAAATTTTTGTTTTGATAAAGTCTCACAGTGTTATACAGTAATGTTTACTGATTACATTACTGTATAACACTGTGAGACTTTATCAAAACAAAATTTACCCATAATGGAATTATACTCTACCACAGTGCACAAGTTTTATTCTGATATAAAAATATGTCTCAGCAGTCAATGAAAAAATGTTAGTTTCAATTTCAGCTGCTTCCTATAAATTTGTGGCGAATTGAGGGGTAGTTACGTAGTGAAGCCAGATCACTTTGATCGAACGCTAGTCAGTAACTACTATCATGCACCTAGTCTTTCATTTGGGTACAGATTAAATTCTATGAGCTAGGTTTGCAATGTGGCTCGCCACCACAGTACACTCTGAATCGTTGATATTATATTGTTGCAGTCTTTCTGTCTGTTTTCGAGGTAGAACTTTGCAAAAATGTGCGGCAGTTTTGGAGTCGCCACACACCAGTGTATATAGCACACAAACCAAGAGAAGAAAGTGCAAGAAATGCATGTTAGAGACAGTAAACAGGGGTGTGAGAACGAAGAACAATATGGTTTCATTGGAAATCATAAGTCACAAGGAGTGCATGCATCTGCATCAGTCATTGACAACGATCACTGAGCCATTTCATCAATTGTTTTCAACCATTGGTTTTTACCGTCCAGAGGAGCCCAATCAGTCAGGAAGTCTGAACTCTTCTACGTGACTGGCTCAGACTAACTGTTGTAGATTTCATTGACTGGTGCCATGTTTTGGTTTGACCTCCGCTAGCTCTTTTTCAGCCTGACCCTATGTCAGCTAACATTGACCGTCGAGGAAGGTGATAACTAGGCGTACGTAACACATGTCCTAACCATCTCAGTCAATGTAATTTCACAGCTTCGTCGATTGATTTCCACTCCTTACCTAGCACTCGACCGAAGCCTAACCTCAATATTGCTCACCCCTACTATACCACTTCACACGGGAGATAGAACACAGGCACCTATGATCAAAGACAGCTGATCTTTTCATGTCTTCCACTCTCAGTGACCAGGTCTCACAGCCAGCCATAAAGGAGGACGGAGCGTACTGATGAGCAGTACACCCGCCCACTGGTCGATAGGTAGGCGGATATCCCGTCTACGCCAGAGACGGTGTAAACTGGCATATGAAAAACTAGGCTTCTGTATCCGTACTGAGATTTCGTCAGAGATCAACCCGTCGGAGTTGGCTGATGGTACTTCCCAAATAAGTGAAGTGGTCAACGTGCTCTACCACTTCACTTCCTATTTTTAAACTAGGCGTCGATGTAGTCCAGTCCTGTAAGATCATCTTGCATTTGGCGGGAGCGAATCGCATGCCAAACATTCTTAGATTGCAGCTTAAGGTGTTCAGAAGACTCTGCGTTTTGTCATAGTCCTCGCGTAGAAGGACTATATCGTCTGCATATTCCAAGTCAACGATATTATTCCCTGGTAGCAAGTCAATCCCTGAGTCGCTGAATTCACTTAGGGTTAAGTCCATTAACACATCTATGATGAAGTTGAATAGAAAAGGGGATAATGGGCATCCTTGACGGACACCACTAGTCGTCACCACTTCAGATGACAACTCGCCGTAAGCCCTCACTGCATGAGTTCGAGTAGAGTCAATCGTCAGGAAGCCGTGGACTTAGGTTTCTTGCTTGTTGGCACTCGTCAGCGCTGCGTATCTGCCATCTTGATGGAACTCTCATGTCATTCCTGAGATTCGGACAAGCATCACTCAGAAGTGCACTCGGAGATGTTACGACTGAGTTAAACTTTACTGACACAATTCAGTCTGCTCTAAGAAAAGACTAGACGTATGACAATAGTTACTTTCTAACTAGTGTTCGATCAAAGTATCTGATACATTTCTATGGGAGGTCAATCGCGCGGTCGAGTAGCTCAGCGGTAACATCTCTGACTGCAACGCTGAGCGACGCTGGTTCGAATCTCAAAGGGAACATAGTTTTCTTGAAGGCTGCAAATACGCTTTGCTAGCGGACTGGTGATTGCCAACATGGACGAAATCTAGGTCCAAGGCTTCCTACCGATTGCCGCGCCTGGGCAGCGATGATTCGAGACGTTCATGAAGCCGGCTCATCCTCCCGTAGGAGATAGCTGAAGTAAAGTAAAAGTAAGTACCGATTGCCTCCAACCATCTAATAACAATGAAGCCAGTTCATTTGTATGAGGTTTCTTCGTTAGTACATAGGTGTTTTCAGTATGTTTTCCACTGGTGAGACGCCATTCATAGTCACTAAATATTCACAGTAATTATTGTTTGGCAGTTTCCTAGTCGATCCTCGTGATCCCAACTGTAAAATAAAGAAAAATTCATGCGGATTGTACTGGAATGTGTTGTACCGAGGGAGGAGGAGAGGGGGATATGAAAGTATTCAAAGGAGGGCCTCTCCAAAAGAGCTGGGGTAATATCTGATCTAATATATGTCTATCGGGCATCCGAACTTGTCAGTATTCGCACAAAACCAGTTCCCGACTACAGCTTGGTCTCGTCCACTTCTAGTTAAGTGCACTGGTAATTTTTAACTTTGTAAGAATTTTGACTGTCGTTAGAGTATACACCTTTACAGTCTATCTTTTAACTAACAGTACAACGAGCTACTTAATCTGTGTTCAGTCCGATTTATGTTCTAATGAATATACATATACTCTTATCGTTTTATCATCTTAGCCCCAAATGTTGGTAGTCGTCTTATGGAAAAAATGGGTTGGCAAGCTGGACAAGGTCTTGGCCGTAGTAACCAAGGTAGAACTCAGATCATAGAAGCCGAATTCAGAGAAGCTGGTGTTGGTCTAGGCATCAAGACATCGAAACGTGGACCTCAGTCAGACAATTATAAAGACAACGTAAAACGAGCAATGTTCGCCAGATTTCATGAATTAGAATAATAATCACACATGCAATAATCACAAATTGTGTTTTGTACATATCTTTTCTCTTCCTCTCTCTCCGTCTCTCTATGTTCTTGTATTCTGTTTGATCTCTTGGCATTTCTGTATATCTTGTGATCTCTAGGCTTTTCTTTTTGATCAAATTTCTAAATTGTAGTAGACTAATCTGAAATCAATCCTCCCTGAACTAATATAAAACCTGTATAATATGTCAAATTTTGTGGTTTTTTTGTGGGATAGGATGCAAGTTTTAACCTGTAGTCATTCGATATCGTGGAGCTTGTGCGCTTTGTGATGCTTTTTTTGTCGTTTCCTCCAGTTTGATTTGATGTGTATCATTTTAAAGTGATGGTGATTTTGTCGTTGAGCATACAGCTGTGGGGATGAGTTGTTTGCTTCAGTAATACATTTTACCTTGACGCTTGAACGTTGCTACTGTAATTCTTTACTATGCAACGGTTTGATGCAGTGATAAGGTAGCGAAAGAAGAAGTATGTAATTTGCTTACCTTGCACACTGAAACCCTCTCCCCCTATAAACGACCCGGTACGCTCGAAGGTGGGTAGGCTTCTGTCTTCCTGCCGAAATGTTCTAATGTGACCATGCGTTCATAGCCTATGCTAGCTGAGTCCTACTTACCGCCTTCACGCAGCAGAAGTGTGAAAAGACGAATCCGAGCGTGTATCGCTTACAACCGGTTTTGTGAACATGCAGGTCCACCTAAGGAAGCTTCAAAACTCTGATTCCAAACCTTTGGTGTATGTAGGCTCAAGAATCTGGACGGATTGAACGGCGTATGTTTTAGTCACTGGGGTCCATGGGAACACTTTTGTGGATGAGACGTCGAGTCAAAGTTATCGGGGGATGGCCTCTTAAGGCAATCACCTTCTTCTCTCTGGGCGCCCGGACAGTATCTCACTCCTCACACAAGCTATAACATCTTGTGTGATGCATTTCTTGGTGTCTATAGTGTACCAAGTTTGTGTTTTAGTAAAATCAAATGTAGACTCAGCTTCACACCGTGGATTGATGGATTTTGATGGTTGTGATGATTCAAGGTGGTATGAAAATTATGGCCGCTGCATTCATATCAGTGGTCTTCGGATTACTTAAACAGCACTATCAGGCGGCATGTGAAGCTTATGTTTCCGCTTTTGGATTGGAAAGACTGAGAGTACAACAGTTCAATATATTTAAACAAGGTTAATTTTCATTATTTTGTTCGCGTTTTAGTATTCATTTGTTTATTTTTTGTGTCACACAACAAAACGGTGTCACTAATTCGTTTTTGTTCAGAAGATATTTTTCTAGATAACGATAATTAAGGTGATCAGATATCGAAAGTTATAGGGTTACTATCATTAAAGCTATCAACATTATCTTATGTTCAGAAAACTATCCAATAGTTGCTACTATTGATTGAAATCTGTGGAATAACGGTAGGTTTTGAAGTTACCCACATCACACTCAGTAGTTTCTGGACGGTAAACTGATTAAGATACACTTAACTGTCGAGTAAATCCACTGAATTAGAAGTGAGAACGGTCCTGAAGTCACGTGTCATCACTGCAGGTTATCTGTCCTGAGTTGGCCTTCATAGTTCAGAACCAGCCACTACGACGAAACACATAGATGACATATCCAGGCTGAAAGCTGCTACACTGACGTGGTGTTACGGCTTGCATATCGCAATCATAGCGATTAGACTAAAAGCAATTACCGGCATAGTGTAAGATGTCTACACTATGCTGGGGTCTGTGAGCAAAGTCGTACTGCTGGAGAACTGGGGCTCAACAGTAGTAAGGTGTTTCCGTTAGACGAACAGCATGTCGGCTATGTTACCTCTCTACTGTGCAGAGTAGCGGTTAAGAAAGGTTGACACCGAAAATTGTACATCCCCATTTACCCTGCGATGGTCTGTTGCCGGCGGTAAGTTACTATTACAGAATTAACTCTAAAAGCCAGTTCAAACAGGCGGCATGTGACCGGCCTCAAGCGGTTATCCTCTGGGCTATGCTGTCGCGCAAATCTAATTCTCTTTACGTTTTAGATGCATAAGGATGATATTTTCACCGTGAAACTAGTTCACGGAATAATTTGGAATTCTTTTTCTGTTTATTTTTCTGTTTGAAGTATTTAATAGTTATGCGACCGAATACCAGTTGTCGCTTCTAATATAGGTGAACAGCTAACGTATTCTCAATGCAGGTGTTAATAAATTCTCAATTATTGTTCAGAAACTGAAGGACAAAGTTGTAAAGGTCATCATTGAAGTGTCAGAAAAATTGGGGAACATTCGTGGTAGAACAGTGGAACTTGCTGAAATCGACATGGATGGAAATTTGCATAGACAACTTAAGCAAGAAGAAGAAGAGCCAGGACAAGAAATAGCTCTCTACGAACGCCTTGAAACTGACAGAGACGAGAAGAGAACTAAAGTCGAAGATGAATCAGTGCAGAGATGAACAACGAAAGCAGAAGCTGAATGCAACGTAGAGATCACTGAACAAAGGAGTAAAAAAGGGAGTTGAAAAGGACAAAAAATGCTTTGACGAAAAATTGTTGACTGAGGCAGAATAGACTGCAGGAAAGAGAGGAACCCCACACTCTTCAGTAAGAGATCAGTGCAGAGGAAGCCAGTGGAAAAATTGTCCAGGAGACTTAATTACGGAACGGGGGAAATAGTGAGTCGGTCACTTCACGGGACTGTCCAATTTGTTGCAACTTACAACTTTTCCAGACGCAGAACCACCTGTTATCACCCATCCTCTGATAAAAACGGGAAGACTATGTCGTGAAGTGACAGTAGTTTGAATTCACGAGTACAGCCGGTTCGATTATAAACTAAAGGTCCCAATTTTTATATTAGGTTGGGTCATCGGTGTGAACTGTTGAATTATCCGGAATTAGGATAAAATAGGTGTCCATTGCTTCATCATCTTCAATGATTCTCTAACTGATATCATTTCCGTGAGGAAACCTACACAACAAGAGATAGCAAGATAGTCGGTGGTAATACGGCTCAAAATTGTTCTCAATTGCCCGAATGCATTCATTCTTTGTGATTTCCCATATCCACTGAAACGTCATGTTTTCTAACGTTACTAGTGCTTTCTTCCACATCATTCCGCTTATTATTAGTTCTCTTATATCTACCTCTGTGTGCTATGTCGAGTGTGATAACCTGAACTGATACACTCCTATGCAATGATCTGTGTTGAAACTCACTCAGAAGTACTGATGAGGTAATAATCAGTAGCTGAGACGGATGACGTGTACGTATGAGAAAAATAATAACACCTTCAGGTTACGAGGCAAAACCTTTGACAACTTAACTACTAGTAATACAGTGGTAGATATGCAATTAATAGAAATTTAGAAACACAAGTATATAGAAAATCAACGCACATAGATCAAATACTCAACTATACTAGCAATAATCCAATTGCTCAGAAAAGAAACTGTGTGCAGACATTGTTTAAAAGAGTTGAAACACACACTAGCACTCCAGAGTTGAAAAGAATGGAAGACAAATACCTACTAACGGTCTTCAAAAAGAATGGTTATCTACAAAATTTGATCAAGAAGTGTTTAAACTCGAATCACAACACCAACAAGGAGCCATCGTCAAAGACCACAAGAAAATTCATCCTACTATACATGAAAAATATCTCTGAAATAACAGCTAGAATATTGAAACTGTTTGATATAGATATAGCACACAAACCAGTCAAATCGCTGAATTCGATATTATGCAAACCGAAAGATCCAACAGAAAATGGAGATAAAATTAATACTATTTACAAAATAAATTGTATGAACTGTAACATGCATTACATCGGCCAAAGTGGGCGTCCCCTTCGAATTAGAATCCAGGAACACAAATCAGCCGTGAAAAGACACGATATATATTCTTTCATATCAATGCACATAGACAATTACGGACATCAGTTTGATTGGGATAATGTCGAAATCTTAGGCAGAGGAAACTCCAAAAATGCCAGGGAAATCTTAGAAACCTGGTACTCAAACAAATATGCAATTTGTATACACAGTTGGAGGTAACATGAGAAGGCAACGAAATAAAAGATGGTACCATTTTATTCTGCTAAAACTGTAGTTCTTGCTTTGTTCAAATTCATTAAGGGGAATAAATGTATGAAATATGCAATTAACAAACACGTTAACATAGCCGAAATATACCAGCTAATAAAAAGTAAATCATGTGACCAGACAGTTTAAAATCCAAGGCAATAAAAAAGGATCAATAAATGTGTAAAGATGGTTATCAGGAGACGCGATTCTATTACTCATGAAAAATTTAAATCATTTCAATTTATGCTAAATATTGCGCTGAAAATGTTGTTCAGAAGGACTACGAAAGCTCCTCAAATAAACCAACCAGCTCAGAGAACACTATTAATTTCAAATCATCACCTGGGCTGCAAATTTTTTCTATTATTTTACAGTGGTAGATTGTTCACCAACTACTCATGTGGTTCGGGTTTTGATTTCCGACAGACGCATTCTTAAACATCTTCTATTTTACTTGCTGGTATTAGGAGAGAGACAGGGCATGAGGAATAACAATTCGACCATGTAAAATAGCAACACCGCTACTGAAATTTCAAAACTTGAAGCCGTATATTCCACTTGGAATGGAAAGAAGTCAAAATAACGTTGACTGTTCCAAGTTTAACCGCGGATCGATATAAGTTAAAGAACCATTGAAAACCCGCAGGGTGTACTGGACATCTGTTTCGTCCTATTTTGAAACTTATCGGCATTGCGTACCTACCAGGTTCTAAACTCGGGACCTGCCGGTTACAAGTCGTGTTCGTTGACTACTCAGTCGCTGAGACCCGAATCAACAGCTTGCCCATGAATTTTAACTTCTATCGACTCGCGTTTAGCAACAATCTATGTCATCGGCGAGTATTTGTCCTCACTTCAGAACAAATTAAATCCCTACAAACTATTGAAAAACTCGATTGGTT